TGGGGAAATCAGCTGCTTCTAAAGCTTGAACTTTTTGAAAATGTGTTATGTTAACTCCTTTGCGGGAAAAATGCGGGAGATATGGAGGGTGGTAGATTTGAATAAACGCTTTAAATTGTTAGGTAATGGTTTTGTAACCGTGTGTAGTGTATTTTGTATATTCGGGTATTTAGTGTGCCGACTTTTTTATTTGATAAAATACAGTGTGCCTACAAACCTCTGCTTTATTTATTTTCTTTTAACGAAAGTTGACTTCGAGAAGTCAAGCTTGTTAAAACATTTTGCACTAAGTTTATACAATTATTAAAATTATTTATAATAAAATGCAGCATGATCCTTTATTTACTTGCATTTTATTGATTTCGTACATATGTATCCATATACCAAAGCGGATTAAGTAAATGTGAACCACAACGCTGTTCGCCTCAGCTGACGGTTTGTTCGTGACATTACATTACAAAATTTTCCGAGCATCCGGGCATCTCGCAGGACCGTCCTCTTAGCGGGAGTTATGGGTTGATTTCCTTCATTTTTAAAAGTCGAGTAAAAAATTTTTTCCGATTTTCTGTCTTTATTAAGCCTTCCGAATACGTGGTTAAAATTAATGACATTATGACTGAATCACCCTGTAGATAAAAAATGGTACATGAATGTTATTGTACTGTTTGCTCATCGTTGCCTAGCAAAAAGAACAATAATACTAGAATACGGTATTTTGGGGTATGATTGGACCGAAAAAATACACATTTCCGAACGAAATTTATTTTCCTCAGCGACAGTAAGATATTGTATGGTCACAAATAAATTTCTTCCACCGTTTACAAACATATCTCGTTGAAATATGGCTTGAATTCATATTTATACCCGTTGTTTCGAAATTAATGCAACAAAATTTGGTTACAGTAGATTCTTAAGAAAAATATAGGGGATTTAATTTGCCAAGTCGCACCCTCTTTCGGAATTACAGCCCCCTGAAATCCGCCCGTAAGAATAGTATTTTTTATATCTCAGGACCCTGATGTACGAGAATTACTAAATTTGGTACACAGGGGTTTTATCCCCTTAAGACACTTTTTCGTGGGCCCCCTTGTCTTTGAGCCAAAATAATTTGGTCGCATATTAGAGTTTCTTAAAAATGATCAGTTCGCTAGAAAGCCATTGAATTTAAAAACTTTGTGTCTCTTGATATTTTTTTTTAGTAGAACGCAATGTTTGTGAGAAAAATGGCGAATCTCGATATGCATTCGATAACACTTTGCCATTTTTCTCGAAACATTGGGTTATATGACAAAAGTATATTGATGATATACTGATATTTTTAAAGAAAGAAATGGTACGCCAATGGTTTTTTTTTCAATTCGAAAGATAAGAGCTCTATCGTTTTTGTCCTGCGATGCGCCACAGTAATTGTCTGTCTTTTGTAATTCTGAAAAAACATTTCTATACAACGTATTACAGACATTCATATAGTAGGAAATGCTTTTGCAATTTGGAGCACAACATTGACGTTTAGTTCTACCAGGTAAACTCATTTTGGATAAAAAGACGAATAAAAAAAACAGTAAGTCAGTTCAGACGATTGATTCAATAAATCCCTTATTACATTAATCTAAAGCAAAACAAATTTATTAATGCACAAAACGCGGAACCTACCTAAACATAAACTATAACCTCAAACAATCAAATATTCTATTGCCGTTGATTGAAATATTGGAAATACAAGACTATTTTTCGCGAGTGAAGTCGTATGTTGTAGTACATACGTGTAGTGTGAGTGAATGAAGAGATTTAAACTACTATGACAACTAAGATCAAAAGAGATAGAAATAGTCAGCTATTCACCAATACTCAGTCGCGAAAAGAGTCTACAGATTCCATCTGTAATTGTAGATTTCTGTTTAACAATTTATATAAAGGATAATGTTTTGCCGCACCAACGCGAGATGGCCTCAGTGAACGCATGCTCCGTCCACCCTATCCAATAAAATCCTCTTTTTTATTTACTCATATGTGCATAACTACAATACTAGAAGATAGCCGTTAAGAGTATCGTTAAGAGAATATAGAGGAAAGTACTTACTGTATGCAGCCTCGAATTTATTAACGGTGCGTTAGCTGCTGGATTGGAGCACGAAGTTCCATAGTGGATAGTACTGGCACAGCATTTCAATGATGTGTGTTGACCGAGATATGGGAATCGGCAACAGAAAATTAGTTGCATGCACTAGATATTTATTCACCAGGATAAACATGTGTACTAGAACTGTTCTATGTGTTAACTGAGACAAAACAAGGACATTGGGGATGAAGAGAGGTTTTAACTGAAGGACAGTGGGAGTAAGCGATTGACAAACACCCATTCGTCCTGAGACAAAGTTCAGATTATTGCAGAAAATTTTAAACTAGGCCTAAGTTTCCTATAAATAAGAACTCAACTTACTCAAGGAGAGCAACTCACTTGAGACAGATTGACAATTGAATAAAATGTAATTCTAAGTGAGCTGTTAAAAAGAAACAAGACATTTTTTTATTGTGATTGCAAACTTATGGCAACGTGATTTTTTGTTGTCCTTGCAAATATTTTACTAACAGTAGCTAAAATATCCTACGATTATAGGTGGACTAGCCTATTTTAAGTGCAGGTATCATGTGTCCTTCCAGGAAAACAAACTACATTGATGTTTTTTAAAACATTGCTTGTCAGTACCGTATTTAATAAGTATTTTAGTTTTTTTCTTTACTAACTGAATTCATTTAAATTAATTGAATACCTTTTACCTATTGAATTAAATGATAAAAATAAAATTATAACATTGATGACGTGTTTCAGCCTCAGAAATGCTGCAATAAATATAACAAATATTAGATTTGTGTCCCTTTGACACTTACTACGACAAATCTATATCGTCTAAACTCCAATGCATTGACGTAACGATATTCAATTTGAAATGTTCAGCGAAATGGAAATTTAGAAAGCATTAAAGAGTAAATACTTGTGTCACGTTAATACTTTTAAACTTTAAGTTACTGATGTTTCATAATAATAAAAAAGACTATGTTACATTAAACTCTTTATTTAGATAATTATATTAAATAGAAAGAACTCTAACGTTGTGAACAATAAAAAAACAAGTCTCAATGATCAGCGGTCAGCCTTGGTTCACGCGCTTCCAAAATATTCCCTCTTTCAAGTTCACGAAATAGATCGATGTCTCGTGTGGCGGCACGATCCCCCAAATGTTTCAATTTGGCAAGCCTTTCCTTGGCTGAACGATAAAATCCATTCATCACATCAGGATAAGGGTGCACAAATTCCATAAGCTCGTTCTTGTTTATGACAAACACCTCTGTCGTTTCTATAGCCACCACGGCGTATTTCTGCTTCTGAAAGAAAAGACAACTAGTCCCGAACTCATCACCGTCGTCCAAATGGCACAATTCGTAGCCAGCCGAATTCGTGACGGCCACAGTGCCAGAGGATATGAAGTACACTTCACTTATTTCCGAACCTATGGTTACAATGATGTCGTTGGGAGAGAACGTTTCGGATTTCATGACTTCCATGATGCTGGCGATCGCAGAATGGGGCAATTGTTTAAAAAGTTCCACCTTCTGGATTATCTTCCTTGCACTAAACAGGAAAAGTTCTGCACGCAAATTATCGGATAGAGTGCTCCTAATCTGGTTCTCTTCGAAGTATTGTCCTTGAAATTTATACTTACAATACCGGAGTACCCTCTGTTTTATATTATCTGGCAAATGTTGGTTAGCCATGTAGTGTTGAAGTGTCGACATATTTCGTTGGTACATACTCTCAGAGACATCGGTTATGCCCAGCATACTCAAGATATCAGCTAGGAGATATAGAGTGTAAAGCCTCCCAGTGAAGGATATAATCACAGCATAGATTTGTTCGTTTGGAACGTCTATATACACATTTGGAATTCCGAAGAAAAGACAAAATACCAAACGGAAAGTTTCGAAATACTTCTGAGTTGATTCCATTGAATAAACAGCAGTTTTTATTATCCACGAACGACGAGGAAATGACTGCCTAATTAAATAATATAATATTGGCAATACAAGTATCATGAAAGAGAAGATGTGAAGGATAAGGTAAGTTTTCAGTGTATGGCATATGAGAGATGCTAGCGTTTTATTAAATTTTAAATTACCAAGAGAATAATTCATGTATTCTATTACGGTAGGAATCCTGACGCTGTAAGCAAATACACGAATAAAATAAGCGGACAACTCGGCAATCTTTTTAATCTCTTCTCTTTGTATTATCCAACGTGCCGGTAACTCTAATGCGAAATATGTACTCAAATAATCGAAAATGAAGTACGTAAATAAATACCTGCGTATTATCTTCTTGGATTCTAACACAATGCGATTATTCTTTTCATCGATGTATCCTCTGTTAAAAAATAATAAGATCAAGACCAGCTGAATGGGGGTCATCACTTTTCTGTGCACGTCCACTACACTGTCAGATATTTCGATATCTAAGAAATGTACGAATGGTTCCACTATAAGGAAGTAAAGCCATAAGATGACAAACGTCGCATTCAGAATTGCGTCGAGGGTGCTCAGAGGGTGAATCACAAAATAATGGGGACCGGAGATGTGCCTCCTTCTTTCTTTCATAGCTTCCGCCTTGTTACGGAACAGTTTCTTGCACCTGGTGTGATTGGGATTAACAACTATTAACTTCCTCAAAACTCTACCTAGTTTTTTAGCCCAATGTGCATTGGGAGCCAGTTTGGGAAGGCCGTAATCATCCTTAACCGGCAAACTGCACCTGTGCTGGTTTTTAGACATAGTTGGGATACGCGTCTGTTGAACAGTACTTGACAGTTTGTCAGAGCTATCACAGGTCACTACGGACTTTTGTTTCGTACAATGTAAGGAGAAACAATCCACTAGCTGAACGTCAAAGTGATAATACGTCAGATTGACAATCAATCAAAACTGAAAATTTAGCAATATATCAAATTTTAACGTTATACTGGGTGTTCGGAACTAAACCGACAAACGAAGACAGCAAATTCTACGGATAATTTCATATCGATTTGAAATAAATCGTCTTTTAGGCAGGGCTCTTTGACATTGCATGTTTTTGCAATGTCCAGATCGCTGTTTATCTAGGTTCTAGGAGGATCAGACTTAAGTTATATGTTAACTCTTATACGGACAGCCTTTTGATGTAAAAGTGATCTTTTAATTATAACCATAGGCGTCACATTTGAGAATGTCAACTGATATTGTTAATTATATTTTTTTATCTTCGATTGTTTGGTATTTTTAATATCAAAATCGAAAACTTCAGAGTATTCTAGATTAAAGAGGTACTTTTGTCTGGTACTTGGTTAGGATGTACCGTATGCGAGCAAAATCTATTTAAAATGTTTGTGTTTTTTTCGTACGATAATTATAAAATTTAGAAATTCTTTGCTAATATTTAGTGGTTGGCTTTGGAAAACAGATAACATAGCAACCGGTAACAATACTGTGAATATCAGTTTTAGAAATTATTTTCAATCAAAGTCTTTTTCTCCAAGTTCTTAATTTAAATTGTCATTTGCTAAATACAAAAAATTCAGTTGTTTAAAAATGTTCACGACAGAAGAATATGCCGATGCGCATTTAGTGTATGCTGGAATACAACGCAACTCGAACAGCGGCACGTCGACGTGTCGAAAAATTTCCGAATAGAAGACATCCTCTTCATAACACCTTTACTGAACTGCACCAAAGATTAAGAGAAACCCGATCAGTGATTCCTAAAAAACAAGACACATTACCGTAAGTTGAGGAAAACCCTAAAATTAGTGTAGAAGGCTGGCTGCAATGTATTCGAATATTTCAAAAACTACTATAATTATGAGACATTTTGCACAAGGAAAATCTATATCCTTTTCATTTTAGAAAAGTTCAGGCATTGAAAGACACCGATTCTCCCGCTAGTGTTGAATTTTCTAACTGGTTACGACACCAAAAAATTCGAAACCCTAATTTTTTTCTGATATTTTATTCTGTGAAGGAGGGAATTTTTTTAATATGCAGAATGCTCATCAGTATTCTTATGTTAGTGGCAACTCCCATGCTAAAAAGAGACGAAACATCAGGATATATTTAGCATAAATGTTTGGATAGAAGTTCTTGGAAATAATCTCCTAGAACCTGTGCAACTGCCTAATCGCCTAAATGGACAAGATTATATAAATTTTTTTGGAGTATATTTTACCAAATAAATTAGATGATATACCTTTGGATATTCGACAGAATTTGTGGTTTCACTTCGGGTAATTGTTCGCGAATTTTAGAATGCTACTTACGGACAACAGTGGATCGAAAGAGGGGGCCCAGTTGCTTGACCAGTAAGGTCTTTGAATTTAAAATCCTGGCGATTTTTGTGCTTGAGAATACCTAAAATCATTAGTCTATGTTCAACCTTTACAAACACGTGATCAACTTTGGGCACGAATTCAACACGCATGTAAAAAGTTTAGAACTGTAGTTGAATCTTCACAAGGATTCGTCAACCATACCCAAGAGAGCCACATATCATTTTCGAAGGAATTCGATGAGCTGACCACGATCCTGTAGTCAAAATGCATGATTTCACAACAAATTTCGGAGAACGTGAAATCTTTGTGAGAAAATTGATCCAAATATGGGTCAAAACAGATTTTTTCCTAATATATAATTTTCGCAGTATTTTGAGGTGTTCAACACGAGGTCATTAGTAAAATTTACCCATGACCTCGATATTTCTCAGACAATCTACTATTGGGTTAAAGCATACAAAATACTTTGTAGATAACTAAATTATCATTAAATATTCGTAAATAACAATACAACACATTGAAAGATTCTTATATACCCAAAATAAAATTTAAAAAATTAAAATTGTGCATGTGTAAAAAATGGGCAAGATAAATTGACTTAATTTCTTGAAGTGTACAATAAAATGCCTCTAATTTAAGTAAATTAAAACTGGAACTCATTCCATATAAAGAGGAATATTCAGTATTTTGTTAGTAAGGTGAAATAATAGCTTTGTAGATTAGGTACAGTAGAATTTCTATGATTTTTTCATCTTGTTAACACATAATTTGAGTTCATATTTATATACTTTATTAAACACGTTATGCATTCTTTTAATTTTATTTAATTAAAAATATATAGGTATATTTTTTAATGGCATTTCAAAAAGTTAGTATTAAGTTATTAATACTGATTTTGTATTTGTATTGGATTCATTATTCACTTAATTAATTATTAAATATTAAGCATCGTCCATCGACCCATCAGTGTTAAAAAGTGAAAGATTCCAGACAAAAGTTTTTATTTTGTAATTCCACGATAGTGACAGTGTAATTATTATAAAAAAGTAAAAAATAAGTGCCGATTACATTAAAAACGAGATTCTTATTTCTTACTTTGCTTAATTTATTATAGTTTGTGCACAAACTTGTTTTACAATGAACAGAGAAAACAATGCTTTTACTATTTATTTCCGAACGTGTCGATATGGTGTTAGTGTATGGTGCAGCCGGAGAAAATGTGCTTGTGGCGACTAGGCTGTACCGGGAACGATGGCCACAACGTCAACCCCCATTCAGCGGCTGCGAGATACGGGAAGTGTTATTCCTCGAGGAGAAGAACGTGGTCATCAAGTGAACCTTAATGTTGAAGATGCAGTGTTGGAAAATTTTGACGAAGACCCCACAATTAGTACTCGACGACTCGCAGAGCAAGTAGGAACCTCATCTCGTACCGTACATCGCATCTTAAGGTGCCAGCTGTTGCACCCCTATCATCTGCAACCAGTTCAACAGATTATACCCCCGGATTGTGATCAACGAATGCATTTTTGTAGATGGTTTTTACGGCAATGAGGCGACATTTACCCGTGATGAAGTGAATTTCCATAATATGCAAATATGGGCCGATGAAAATCCTCACGCGATTAGGGAAACTCAATATCGGTTCTCGGTAAATGTTTGGGCTGGCATAATAGGTGATGTATTTGTGGGTCCCTGTTTCTTTGAAGGGCGACTAAATGGACCAACATATGCTGACTTTTTGGAGAACCGGTTGCCTGAATTATTAGACGATGTGGCATTACAAGTTAGGGCACACATGTTTTATCTTCAAGATGGGGCTTCTCCACACAGTACAAGAGAAGTAACGACACTTTTGAATGAAATGTTTCCTCAGCGATGAATTGGACTCTTCGGTTCTGTGCCGTGGCCACCTCGGTCACAAGATCTAACTCCAATGAACTTCCATCTTTGGAGTCACTTGTAGTCATTGGTTTACAGTACCCCAATTGCTACGGTGGAACTCTTGCGAAACCGTATACTTGAAGCTGCTGACGCAATTAGGGGAATACCTGGAATTGTATACAAAAATAGAACTTTTTCGTATAAACCTTTTTTATTACAAATATCGTAGAAAATCTGTAGTTTAATTTTTATAGATTATAAACACCACACCCTGTATAGTAATATAATAAAAAGTATACTTAGATTTAAAGGTTTCGTTACGTCTACCTTCAGATTTTTTATTTATTAACCTCCATTAAAGATGTCGCTTTTCATTTTAGAAAAGAATATACGTCAAAAGATTATTTCATAAATCTGCCACATCGTTACACTTTAAGAATAAACATTTATCACCATGGCCATAGTTTACACGCAGAAATGACTGGCGTATTATTAATTTGTGAAGAATGATTGATATTATTGTCCTTGCTCATGTTACCCTCCAACGCCTCATTTAAATGGTCAAAAATATCATAAATACCCCCACGTTACTTTACCAGATTTATTGGAAGATNTTCCTCAGCGATGAATTGGACTCTTTGGTTCTGTGCCGTGGCCACCTCGGTCACAAGATCTAACTCCAATGAACTTCCATCTTTGGAGTCACTTGAAGTCATTGGTTTACAATACTCCAATTGCTACGGTGGAACTATTGCGAAACCATATACTTGAAGCTGCTGACGCAATTAGGGGAATGTCTGGAATTTGGGAAAATATTCGCCAAAATTGGGTGCGTCGGTGCCATGCCTGTATCCGCGCTAATGGGGATCAATTTCAATATTTTCTCTAGAAATGGTAAGTTTTATTTCATTTTGTTCCATATTTTGTTTAGTGCACGCAGTTGGCAACTACAGATGCTTACGGATGTTGTTTTGTTTGCGAACTCTTGCTGTAACAGCAATGCACTTAAGATAGTAATTACTATTAATTAATATAATAAGAAAATATCAGTTTGTTTTTTTAAATATCTATTTTCCTTAGTTTGTACTTTTGCATTGAAAAATTCCCCAAAAATTGAGAAGTATCTTTCTATATTTCAACGACGATTTGTTTACGCTGCTGGTCTACAGCACATAACTCATCGTACAGCACACGGACACGACCGTTCCAGAGAAAATATTTTGATCCATAATTGAACTTTAATTTACGAAAAAAAAACCGCAAAAATAGAACTTTTTCGTATAAGACTTTTTTTATTACAAATATCGTAGTAAATCTGTAGTTTAATTTTTATAAATTATAAACACCACACCCTGTATAGTTATATTAAAAAAGTATACTTAGATTTAAAGGTTTCGTTACGTCTACCTTCAGATTTTTTATTTATTAACCTCCATTAAAGATGTCGCTTTTCATTTTAGAAAAGATAGATATACGTCAAAAGATTATTTCATAAATCTGTCACATCGTTACACTTTAAGAATAAACANAAAAAGTATACTTAGATTTAAAGGTTTCGTTACGTCTACCTTCAGATTTTTTATTTAT